CTTGACCCATCTCTCGGAGAGTTCATTCTGACTCATCCAGGCATTAAGGTACATTTGTTGTTTGAGCATGGAGTCAATCATGAAAATTACCGTTTTCTTTATATGCTTGTTCAGCTGCTCACACTAAGATAAAATGTCATGTCTTATGAATTGGGAGAAAATAATGTTCAAGAGGAGGAAAAAGAGTCCATTGCCTTATCTTTGTACCAATAAATAACACTTCTTCTTATACACATGGAGCCATTGGCTTTCTGTGCAGATTCCAAAGAAAGGAAAGATCTATTCTGTAAATGAAGGAAATGCTAAGAACTGGGATGGTCCAACTGCCAAGTATGAAGTGATTCAGTTTTTCTTCTCCATTCTGCTTAATCTTTTGTTCATTTCCTTACAATTCTTTAACTTTAGGTATGTGGAAAATTGCAAGTTCCCCAAAGATGGTTCCTCCCCGAAGTCTTTGAGATACATTGGAAGGTATTATGCATTCTCTACCTAGCAGCTGTGAAATTGAAATGTAACTTGGTTGCTATCTAGTTGTCACAATTTCCTTGACATTATCTGCACTCATTTTATTAGTATACTAAAACTAGCATAAAACTCTCAATTGGTGATGACATAGAATGATTAACAGGGACCATTATTTCGCTGCAAGCTTCAATATCCTGTATGAATAATATGATTATTGATCTGAAGCTAGTGTCCTTGATACATTAGCTTGTTCCTGACACTTAAAAGTTGGATGAGCTTTTAAACTCTTGGATTCACTAAAAGTGTATCAAAGAGAATTTTCTTGAGCAGAACTGTGTCTGTATCTACAGTCCTTTACGTCCAATTTCCGCATATTCTATCTGCTTGTGGTATGAAACTGCTTATGGAACTTGCTACATATTTTAGACCATGGCTCCATTTTAGGCACGGAAGGCTAGCAAACATGTGCTTATCTCTATTAGATTTATATGTTCTGGTTGCAACATGACTTAAGGTCTTTTTATAAGGTTTTGTGGTTTCTAAT